ACAGACACAGAGACACACCGTCAGACACACAGAGCAAACACAGAGGGGGACAGACACAGAGACACACAGGGACCGGAGAGAAAGAGAAAGTGAGACAGGCACAGGGACAAAGAGAGAAAGACCAAGGGACAAACACAGGGACACAGAATCAGAGAGCTAATGAGACACAGAGGTGAAGACAAGGACAGAGAAACAGACTCAGAGAGAGAGATACAGGAACACAGAGAGAGACACAGGGAGACAGAGACAGACTCAGAAAGACAAACGCAGAGACACAGAAAGAAATCCAGAGACAAGATGCTGGAACCCAGACACAAAACCAGACAGACCCAGAAACAGATGTGGGGACACAGGATTTACACTCTCCCTCTCCCTTCCTCCTTCGCAATCATCTTTCTGTCTCTCTTTCCCTGCAGTTTCACAGCTGGGAGCCACTGTCTGGTACCTTCAGCAGGCGGGTGTGCAGGAGCAGGGTGTAGGCTGCCTCAGTGTAGTTCTCGCAGTCCAGGTGAAGGTCCCTCAGCTTGTACAGGTACCTGGCAGGCAGACAGACTAGTGGTCAGTGAGAGCGCTACACCAACGGCACAGGGCCGGGACGCCAGTCTCTGCAGAGCCACAGTGTGCAGGGCCAGCCAGCAGGTGGCACCCTGCTGTAAGAGAAGCCTCTTCCTCCCTCTCCTTCTCTCTCCACCTGGTTCTCTGTCCCCCCACTCCTCCTGAAATCTGAGCACATCTTTATTTCAACGTACCGACTGATCCTCGGCTTTAAGGCTTAATCCCTGATGAGACACAATCCCCAGCGATATTAAACACGTAACCACACACTGTGTATGCCAGGGCCAAGCTACAAGGGGCAAATGACAGAAACAGCAATCCTGCTGCTACTACAACTACTACTGGCACTACTATTAAAAATAATACTACTCCTGCCATTACTACTACTACTGCCACTCCTACTAAAGATAATACTGCTCCTGAAAATACAACTACTGTCACTACTACTGTAATACTACTATTGTAATAATAATAATAATAATAATAATAATAATAATAATAATAATAATAATAATAATACAACTATTTAAA